ACTTTTTTATTTGTTATTTTTAAATATGTTATTAATTGTTGTGAAAGCCCTAGAACTCTGGGGGGGAAACCCCTAGGAAGGAATGGGGGGGGGGGGACTCTGCAGAGAAGAGGAGAAACTTCAAGAGTTGGGAAAGGGAGGAGTTGGGAGTTCCCACCAATGGAAAACAATTTGCTTGCAACTCCAGAATTACAAACTATTTTCACAGTGTTTTCTCTGGAGTAAAAATTGATTCTACAGTTACTTGGCTCAGCTTCCCAAGATCAACATATCCGCCCCAACATATTCTGACCATTCCTCATAGATTTTTCTTTCTTAGCCCCTTATCAGTATAGTTGCTTTGTATATGCTTCAGTTTGTCAAAGTCCTTCTAAAATGTGGTGTTCAGAACTGGATTCAATATTCTAGCTGCAATCTGACCAATGCAGAATAGATGAATCATTATTTCTCTTGACCTTAATACTATGCATCTATTGATGTAGCTTAGGACTGCATTTCCCTTTTTCTTTTTTTTTTTTGGAAGCTGCATCACATTTTTGGCTCAAGTACAGCTAACTATCCACCAAGATACCCAGATCTTTTCACACATAATGCTGCCCAATATGGTTCGCCTCCATCCTATATTCATGACTTTGTTTTTTCCTACTCTGCATTTGTCCCTGTTGAAATTCATCCTGCTGGTTTCTGTCCATTGTTACAGCTTATCAAGATCCTCCTGAAACTTAATATAGTTCTCTAAGGTGTTCGCTACCTCTCATCTTTATGTCATCTGCAAATCTGATAATCATATTTTCCAAACTCTCATCTAAGTCATTTATATATATGTTGTACAGCTCTGGGCCCAGAACTGGACCCAAGTCCTGCAAAACATCACTTGGCACTTCCTCCCAGGCTGATGAACAGCCACTGACATACATCCATTGGCTACAATTGTTCAACCATCTCTGTATCCATGTAACATAGCATACACACCCATACTTTGCCACATTTTCTCCTAGAATATCTTCATTGAATCATTTACTGAAATCAAGGTACGCTATATCCGCTGTATGCTGTTTTCAACTAAACTGATCCCTCTATCAAAAAAAAAAAAAAAAAGAAATCAGGAGGTTGGAGATGACTTATTCTTGGTAAGCCAAGTTGGCTCCTACCAAGCAACACATTCTTTTCTAAATGCTCACAAACTAACCATTTAATAGTCTGTACCAAGGTTTTATCCCATTATCAATGTCAAACTGACTGGCCTGTAGTTATCTAATTCCTGTTTTTCTACTTTCTGAAGATAAGTAAGTTGTTTAGTGTCAGGACAAGAGAAACAAATACTATTTTATTCTTGAAGTCATAACAATGCTGAAATTTAAGTTAATATAACATTTGAAATGACATGTTCAGATTATTTTTTTTAAAAAAAGATAAATATCAAAAACATAGAATAACAAAAGGATTGGGTGGGGCAGTAGGTGGTCAGGTAAAAGAAATGTATTCATGGTTTCACAATGGTCAGTTAAATGATATATATACTCAACTAAAGGTGCACCTGTAAAATTGCTAATCTACAGTCTAAAATAACTGCAGTGAAGGGACTGTGGCTTAGCAGTATGAAGGAAATCCTATTGACATTGGAGCACACTTTTTTTTTAATCTCTAGATGGCAGCAGTCCCTCATAAACTGTGTTGACCAATTTTTTTTAATGATTTAGTTTTTTACAGTATTTATTTTTAATCTACAATAAGTACAACTGCTCTTTAACCTCAGTCAGATGCTTTTGGGGAGTCTATTGAAAAGTATGTTCACAGATGGATGACCTTAACACTGTAGATCATCAAACAATACAGATGATGATGATGATGTTTATTCATTAGGTTTATTACCACAATATAAGACACTATTCACCATTTTTAAACAATACCCAATGGTTTCAATCACCATTTGCCCATGCTCACAGCAATCATTTGAAACATGTTAGCTTGAGATATAAACCTGATTCACATTCTTCTTCTTCCCAGACTTACTTATGTTGCAATTGCTGGAAACACTGCAATTTTTAGCACCAGCTTTTAATAAAGCTTTTATTTGGGGGGGGGGTTGCCAGTGTTTAAGTCAGTGTTTTGGGAGGTGTCAGTTTTTAAGTCAGTTTTGACTCCTGGTGACTGCCTGGACTAGTCCCTTCAGTTTTCTTGGCAAGATTTCAGAAGTGGTTTGCCATTACCTGCTTCCTTAGGGCTGAGAGAGGGTGACTGCCCCAAGGTCACCCAGCTGGCTTTGTGCCTATGGCAGGATTAGAACTCACAGTCTCCTGGTTTCTAGCCTAGTGCCTTAACAGCTACACCAAGCTGGCCCTCTTTCTGAAATTTTATGGACACTTATTCCCCTCAGGAATGTTAGTCCTGTATAAAAGTATAGAATCTGCTTAGAGCCAAGCAAAAGAATCATATGGTAAGTTCTCTGCACCCATCTGAAACAGGGCCTTTCAAGAAAATGGCAGTGGTAACAGCAGCTGAGACATTAATAAGCAGAAGAGGACATATAAGAAAAGAAGAATGGGGGCAGATGGACATACACGGAGGGCTGCATGCAGCCAGTGGTTACAGGTTATCTTCCTCTGGCTAAACAAATTACTTTTCCTTAGCTGGCGTCGACAGAAAATTAACTTAAATTTATAAGCAAAAGTTTTCAGTTTCCTTTGGCACACTATACAAAAAAAGGGCTTGGGATCTGAATTTAATTGACAGACCTGGAAACCATGATTCCTCATTACATTTGGATCAAGACTTCTTTAAGTAACATAGTAAACCCTGTAACTGAAGAAGGATTTGAAAGAGCATCATATTTGCATCAAAAAAAGTAATGACTGGAGAGACCGAAAGTATGTCTACTCTTTTAGTAAGTCGTTTAATAAGTTATTATGAGTTGCTTACCACTGGCCATATTGGCTTGGGGTTATGGGACATGGAATTCAACACCTAGAGGACTGCATATGGCTTATGCCAAGTAAACAACACAATGGTAATATTGCTAATAAAGTGGGGAAGAATGAGTCTTGGCTATGCTATTTAAAATGCAATAGACACATCTCCAAAGACTTCATGAAAATTGTCAAGATATAATATTAGCAGTCCAAGCTCCAGGATCCCCCCACCACAAAAATAAAGTACTCTTCTACCTATAAGGCAGTACAAAAAAAATTACTATTTCAACCAAGAAATTCTAGATCACAATCAAAAATGAGAATCAGCTTCCCTGAGACCAAGAAGTGTTAATTCATGAGAACTGGCTTTCTTTCTAGTGTCATATAATATTTATTCAAGCAAGAATACTATAGGCAAATGCCATCCTAATTCACTTTTTTTTTTGGTTAGATTTTTTATCCTGCCTTTATTATTTTTTATAAATAACTCAAGGTGGTAAACAAACCTAATTCTCCTTCCTCGTATTTTCCCCACAACAACAACCCTGTGAGGTGAGTTGGGCTGAGAGAGAGTTCTGGCCCAAAGTCAACCAGCCGGCTTTCATGCTTAAGGCAGGATTAGAACTTACAGTCTCCTGGTTTCTAGCCTGGTGCCTTAAACACTAAACTAAGATAGCTTCCTCCACATATGATTATGCAGAACATCTTATGTCTTTCAGCAGTGCTCCAAGTAATAGAACAAACAGTTCTCTATTGGGTTTGTATTACCATTACCATTACCATTCACATTCTTATTTATTATTTACAGACTTTGAACATTTACTAATACTCTACAGGTGGCTACTCCTTTTGATACTTTAATGTCACACCTTGATCTTTGCTACTCACCTATAAACATATAAACACTCTGAATAAAGTGGGAGAAAACAAATTAAAATGAAGCCTGGGATTTTTCTATAAGAACACTGGTTTTAGAAATGCTCCTGCATTAACTTGCTATGGAACTGCTCCAACATACATATATTAGAAGGTTAACACTCAAAAGCTTTATATTTCATATTACATCATGCTGGGTATTGTTAAGATTAAAGACCCAGTTTCTAGACACCCGCAAATGTGCCTGCTGCTAGTTCTGACATCCATTCCTACTCTCTGTGGAAACATATATGCTCTTTTTATTGTAATGAATGATTTAGGTAAGATGAAAGAAGAATCAATCCTCTGCAATACCAATGAGCTGAGAAGAAAATTGTCCATTTTCATATGGGAACAGGCCACTCAGATGTTGAGAACAGATGCTTATGCATTCAGCAGATGTCAGAAAATGTAGCCTAAATCATTACACCTCATTTAATGTAACCATAAAAAGTACTATTTGAAAAAATAAAAACAAATCAAAGAAAAAATATTCCTGAAATTGATATTTTGCATTCTCCTGGCACTTCAGGAAGTGACATAAAGACAAATATTTCAGGGAGAAAGCTTCTAAAAAAAGAGAAGAAATAATTTTATGGTAAAGTCTACAATTAGAAGTAACTATTTTGATGGCATTAGATTGAGTATCAAATAAATCTAATTCTCCCCTTGGACAATCAAAGTTTCATAATAGGATACCTATTGCAAGTAATGGAATCAAGAGAAACTTCCACAGCTTTTCACTTATGGGTTACTTCTGGGCTAGTTAAGGTGATGGGTCACCACAGATGTTAACTGCAGAATTCTGCTTGATACCAAAAGACCAGAACTGGACAGCACTGAAACACTCAGCAATGAAAGAAGAAAATTCTTGCTATAGACCCCACCGTTAAGAGGCCTAGGTAATGCTAACAGCTATGGATTCACAGATCCAGTTGTGGACTCATCTCCTTGCCTTTGTGCAATTTCCTTAAGTTATGGAAAAGTGTCTTCCCTGAGCTGCAGCAGCAAAAATGGAAGAAGAGAAGAGAAGAGAAGAGAAGAGAAGAGAAGAGAAGAGAAGAGAAGAGAAGAGAAGAGAAGAGAAGAGAAGAGAAGAGAAATAGCTGAAGCCTGAAAAAAGAAACCTCCAGAACACAAATAGATATACATGGGTGTCAAAGGATGCTCCAAGTCAATGATCTTTTGATTTCTCTGTTGATATATACAATTCAGTGTATATATGAATTCAAGTGACTTGCAAGGAAAGAAGAATGTTGAATTATAAATTCATAAATGTTCTCAAAAGAGACAATATTGTCTACTAAAGATTTTTCTGTTCCATTTGCACATATAAATTGGGACAGAGATATGGATATCTTTAATACCTACCTACCCAGTTATTAATGCAGTTGTAATATATTTTCCAGAGGTAAGCTTTATATTTTTAATTAGTCAAATATTGATCTCATGTATCAAATAACATCTAATCAACATTTCAAATCCCTAGCAATGAGAGTTTGCTTTTTCAATCCTACTAGGACATTATAAAATATATGCAAAAAATATGCATCTTTCAGATATAATTTGGTTTTGGTCTAAAAATATATTTTTGATTAAATGTAATTAACCCACAGCCTTCTAAGCAAGACAAAAATCTTTAGAAAGTTTGCAGTAAATGCTTGCTATTTCAATGAACATAATATATTTTGATCACTTTGAAAACAAGGCAGAGATATTTGGAAAACTTTATATCCCAAGAGGTGAGCGAAAGAAAACAAACCTCTTATCTAAATTGGATTGTCCTCTTGGTGCTTTCAGAAACCACACACAGAGAGCCCTTGCTGAGATGTTTGTGTAGAAAAGGGCATGAGAGGCAAGACAATTACCTTTCATCTTGATGCAGAACTCCCCCATTAAATTTTCCAGCTCTCCTTCAATGGCACACATGCTCTATGTAGGAAAACAAAAGATTGGTATCAGATCAACCATCCCAAATGAACTATATAAAGATACCTTAAAAATACACTGAACTGTTTTCATTACAACTAATTGTAATGTAGTGATTTCTGAAGTAGGCTGAGTTGAATTTACAATAATAGTCGGGGGGGGGAGTCAGTGTATGGAAATTCTGCCTTCCTTGTTATCCAGGAATCAAAATTCAATTTTTTCTTCAAGATCAGTGGGTTTTGTCGAAATAAGTCATAGAGCAACTTTTTTTTTTGTCCATGGAGTTCAGATATTCTAGCAGGAAATCTAGAAAAGTATGGTGAATTGTAGCTTTCAACTGCAAAGATACCCCTGAAATACACATATATGCACTTTTCATAAACAAGAATTAGCATTTACATTAATTTTCACATCAAAGTACTGCTCATTTTGGAAATCTACAATATAATCAGCCCTACTATAAATTATTATACTCCTATCACATATTGTAAGACATTAACTTCATTAAGGAAAAATGAATTCCTAGACATATATTTGATCAAATTCTATACCAGAATTTAAGCAAATCAGTTCTAATATCTGCAGGAATGTTAATATTTCACTGGAAGTTATTTAAATCTCCTGAAATTCTATATATTGGAAGGGGATCTCTGCATTCCAAACTACTTACAGCAGTGCAATGCAGTGTTTCAGATTTGATTCTAAAATGGTACATCTGCCTACAGCTTTTTAAAAGTATGGTGTCTTTTCCTGGGATAGTGCATTTCCTGGGATTGTGCAGCACTTTTAAAGTGCAGATGCATTATCCTGGAAAAAGATACAGTTGCTTTAAAGAGTTCCAAATGGTTGCTATAGTCTTGCTCCACCTTGCTCTGAAGCACTTTTTTGGAATCAAATCCCAAGTGGTAAACAAACTACCAATTTGATGGCAGAATACACAATGCTGCATAAATGTAATAACTATTATCACTGGAAACTAATTCTGTACTTTAAAAAAAAATCCACAATCTATTTTTTCCACAACAACTCAATCTTCCTATTACAGTAATTGGAAAATTTCAATCTAGGAAGTCTAGATAAAACGGAGACAATTTTATACCTCTGTATATTCTTTATAGCTTTTGTTGATTTCTGACAAACTCTCTCGAGCTGCCTTGCTAGCAGGGGACAACCCGTATGCTTGCTTCATTTTACTGGCACCATCACGAAGCCGTCTTTGGATACAATAGGCTTCAAAGAGTTCATCTACCTGATAGGAAGAAAAACAGCAAAATTAAGATTTTTTAAAAAAATAAAAAAATCAAAATCAATCAAAAGGTGTTTGAATTATCCAGGTATGATATGATAATGATATGATATCATACTAGTCTATAGAGACTACTGTAGTGAGTAAACAGTTTCATTGCTGATACCATCTTTGTACTGAAAATAATTATCTGTGAAAATGACACCATTCTCTTGTTATCTCACAACTATTTTTCAAAGATTAATACTGCAGCTTCTCAAGCTTTTAACTAACAATTATGGTCAGCCATTTGAATTTTTTTGCAAACCTTTTCTTTTTTCATTAAGGTTCCTTTCAAAACTAATAATAGTAGCTGCTCTTAATATTTCACCTTGCTGACCACTCTAATAATTTGAATTAATTCTCAGAATAAGAAAAAGACAGCAGCGACACGCTACTGTAGTATACAAAAGAGTCTACTTAACAAGAAAAGCAGAATATTATATTCTTGCCCATGTTAAAGTCTCCTTCACAGTACTGAGCAAAAACTGGAAATCACAGCCCAAATGTTTTATTCCTACTAGATAAATTGTTACTGATTAATTCTATGCATTTTTATACAGAGCAGAGACCCACTATGCTTAGTGGAACTGACTTCCAGACAAGAAATAAAAAGAATTGTGGTCCCAAGAACTATGCATAGAATTGTTCTGCCATTTAAACAGCTTACCATTTTAAACAATCCGTTTTTTTCCTTCTACAGACAACATATTTCTTGCAAGACAAAATAACTCAGTTATCACTTCTTACAGTACATTATGTACAATAGCACTTTGGCATAAGTGGAAAACACTTCCACTCACATGAAGCTGGGGGCTTGATTTTTATTGATTCCCGTACCCATTTGTCTCTAACCTTTTTGATAGACTGCTTTTCTAATGATTAGAAGACCTTCTGAAACATTGTAGGATACAGCACAAAGTTACGCGGTGGGTGAAAAATATGTGGTTTCTTTAATATGCATGGGAATGTTTTCCACTAACAAAAAACATGACTGGATGTAAGCCACTGCAAGGGTACAACACCAGAGCTTTATCAGCAGGTTTTGCATACTAGACAGATCCAAACAAAGCACTCAGAAAATGAGTACCAGCTCAATAGTAATGAAAGAATATGGTTCCTTATATAACAACATATATCATAATGGCAATAATCTACAGCAGTGTTTCTCAACCTCAGCAATTTTAAGATGTGTGGACTTCAGCTCCCAGAATTCCCTAGCCAGTCATGCTATTTATTTCTATTAACAAGAGTGTGTGTGGTACATCATTTTTTTCCTTGAGCAGGTCTACCACAAACCCATCTGTGACATTGCAAAAGTGTCATGACCACATTTCCTTCCTTTACTTCCCTTTCAAAATTTAAATTCATGACCCAGCTTTCACTGGAAGGCTAACCAACGCTGCTTGTCACAGAGACCAAAGTTGTGCAACTTTTCTTGAAATGTTTTCAATTACAATTGCTCATGTTTTGTTCTTATAAAAACCTTGCTTCACATAAAATTCTCCATATTTGTCACCATGGGTTACAGAACAACAAGTTAACATACTGAGCAATTTGGATGTAGATTTAGCTCTGTAGCAACTCAGTAAAACATTGAAATCCCTTTGTTCTGAGTGGGAGGGACTTGAACACAAAGTACCCACTGCATGAGCTTGCCAGCAGGGAACACACTATTTTGGATTTATTTTCCTGATGAATATTTGATTTATGAGCATGAAAAAAATTAAGAGGGTTATGTTCTGAATGTCCCATAACAGAAGGTTGAACTAAAAAAATCACAAGATAGCTCCATACTGTTTGCCATCTACTATTATAGGAAAAAGGAAACATAATCTTAGTGCAGGTCAGCCAGTGACATGCGGCAGTCTTACAGCTAACTTCATTTCAGCTGCATGCAACATTTCAAAATACAAATGGCAGCTGTAGAGACTCTTGTCCCAAAACATGGCCTTCAGCAATAGGCACTCAGCATGACTGAATATGGTGCTTTGTTGTACTTATTGGTGTGAGATATTTTATTGTACAAATGAAAGAGTATCTAATCTCTGAATGTGCCTATGTGGATCCATGCACACACAAATATTACGTATCACGCAAATATACAGATATGGAGATAATGAACTATTAATAGGGAGTGATTACTGTTAAAGTATTACAAAACATTCTGATAATAGAATTGGATGATTTTTTCTTAAGAGCTTAATTGAAGACAAGGTTATGTCGAAAAGAAACGTTCCATCTAGAGATGAGCTTGTTTCACCCGGCAGGCAAAGACAAGGATGTTAGCAGTACATCAATTTTGTTATCTCATCTCATTTCCTCTTGTTCCAGGTCAGTTTGACCACAGACTTGCTCTGAGAGAGAACAACTTGAGGGACACGGCAAATTCTCTTACAGGCTACACTTGACTCTTATGCTCATTTGCACAAGATTACTTGCAAGCCTTAATCTAAATTTATCTAAAGAGCTGCTCTGTGAGATGGTTTCTCTAGACTACCAGATATTGCTGGACAGGCTTTTGATAAAAACAAAGTTGGAAGCAGAATGAAAGGAAGTTAATTACCTTACTGATATGGAACTCAAGCTTTCTCATGTATCTTTCAATTGCTTTCATTTGCTGAAACAATTAAAGAAACAAAATAAAAACAGATATCTGAGGTTAGCTGAACCAAAGTGTACTTTTCTATATGTCTAATATTCTCATATAAGACCAGTTTGATATTCAAAAGGAATTCAGTCTTTCCCTGAAAAGTGAGAACCTTTAGCTCTATCTGGACCAAAAAAAGACCAGAGTTAAAGTACTTTTAATTTCATTCTAAACTTAAAAAAATAATCACTAATAGTGTTGGATAAAACAGGTCTTCCCAGTTCCATTAAACATATCTCAAGTTACTGTATAACTGGGTTCCAAACTACATATACAATCAATTTTTCATGCACTTACTGAGATGTCCCTACAATCACCTTAGGCAAGAATCTTCAAATCACTTTATTTGAAATCAATTTTATGGACTGAAGGTAGCTTTTGCAAAGTAAATGGAGGACAAATGATGGATAGTATTACTTGCACTGTGAGTCCTCTAGCTAATATGATGTGATGCCATGCTGCAGCCTTCTCCAGCCCTTAAGATGTATTGGGACTACAACACCCAAAGTTCCCAATCAGGAGGGAGAATTTTCTCTGCTACCCCACAGGATTGAGGCTGGTTGTTTACTGAAGTATAATCATTACAAAAACTTACCTTGTCAAGGTCATACAGCACCCCCTGAAATGAATAAAATAAATATATTACTGAAAAATAAGATGTTCTTCCAAGGAAGAAAACACTATGGTTGTATACACAGTGCCCTAGTACAACTGAGCCAAAATGAATCAACTGCAATAAATAAATGTCATTAGAAAAAAAAAAAAGACACAGATGACATTTTTTCAGGCAATGTTCTGTCCAGGATGAGGATAAGTAGGAAAATGTAAATTCATTTCTAAACTTCCCAGAAAAGCTTTACAAGCAAAGGCATAGCCAAACAATTAAATAAAATGGCTTCCTGACATCGTTCAGCCATGTAATCACCCCTGTAAAGGAGTGAACACTGGCCTACTCTGTCTAAAACAAACTGATTTAATCTAATAAAAACATAGAAACCATAATTGTCTATCTATTTTGAGAAAAGTGGTTACAATAACTGATTTGCAGATTTTTTTCTCCAGTACCACCTTTATTCCAAGACATTTTCCAATCGACACAAGAGGAATACAATTTCAAGGAACAATTGTTTGGATAGGATAGGATAGGATAGGATAGGATAGGATAGGATAGGATAGGATAGGATAGGATAGGATAGGA